ATTCAAAATTTAAGATTTGCTTTTCAAACAAGAAGCTTGGCAACTAATTTTTGTTTGCAATTTGAGATGTATAGCATGAAAAAAATGTGATTCACATTATCAAAATTTATAATACATACAGAAAATACATTTGATTTTTCATCCATGGTTTTTAGTCTAATTAGTTCCAGAGCACCTCTGTGATGAATTCAATTCAAATCTGATTTTTTTTAGATATCAGAAATGGGCTAATTAAGCAATAAGGGTATACCACTTTGTGGCTGTGAATTGGCTCGAAGTATAGCCACTGTACTCTATAGGTCGGAACAATTCACGAAGTCGGAAAGTCTCATGTCAGGATTGACATTTATTGAACTTTGAAAAGGAAACATCAACATCGGCTTGAAACAACAACAAACGTAAAAAAAATAATAATAACGATAACAATGGCACGAGGACCTCAAGTGTCACATGATACAAAACTCAAGTTGTGATAGATCGGTTTTAAACCAATCACTGATCGCGGCAATAACGTCATAGGTCAAATACAATGTATGATATAATAGGAATACGAATAATCTAAACTAAACATCAAAGCTATTGCTGAACAGAAATAATACAGCGAATTGAATATTAATTATAGAAAAACATTTTGAAGTCTAACTAGACAATTCAAACTTAATTAACAAACACACCTACATTGTATGATTTGCATCTCGCCCCGACACACTTGATATTGCGGCTCGTGCATATATATCGTTAATTGTGCAATATCTCGTGGTATACCCGCCTTCGGCGGGGGTTATTGCTATTATATTATACCAGTATATTGACAATTCGATAAAACTAGTAAAAAAAGAGTTTACTTTCATCTACTAAAAGATCATGATTATGGCCCTTGAACATGAATATTTATAAGAATAGTATGTAGTTGTACGCTGAATGCATACAAAAATTACATGCGCAACACAGTTCAAATTGAATACAAACTAATTTTTATTCCACATAAAAAAGAAACATATCCACGTTGAATAGAGCAGCATAAACACACAAATTAGCATAACAAAGGATGACCTTTCTGACATTTTACTGACGCACAACGCGATTTGAAATACAACACTGAGAACATAGCGTTCTGGCGTTCATGTAGGCACCTCACAGTGTTGAGGGACGGTGGTTTAGGTTTGTGTGGCGAACGACAAGCACCCAACGACCGACGCTCACAACTTGGATCCCACCATTAACAAAAAGCAATATTATAGTTATATAATTTTTCAGATGTTTTTAATTCAGTATTTTTTTCAATATTCTTCCAAAATTCAACCACTATATTTCCCTAAAAATCAAATAATACCGATTTTATGTATTTCCGTATTAAACCTGTAGTCAACTCATGTTCCAGGGCCACTTGGTTTAGCCGTGCATTATCAGCCAATATACCATGGATTGCACATGCAAATTTTGTGTTTGGACCAATCAAATCAATGGATTAACACCATCAATATACTGGTATAATATAATAATAGATAATGAATATTCATGTTTATCAACATTAAACTAATCATGTCTATGGATTCCCTCAATGAACCAAATGAATTATTATACAAATTAAGCAATTATTATGCATAGATTTAGGTCTGTATATTGTTTCTGAACACACATGTACAAAATGTTTAACTAAATTAGTGGAAAGCTGAAAAGTAAATTATTATGCAAATTAGGTAATTATTACAGATGCAATTAAACCTAAAACTAATTAGATCATCACATTGTGTTAGAGTACATATGTACCAAGATTCATTGATTTAAGATAAGTACTGTCACAGACCATCTATGTATCAAGTTTCATTTAAATGTGATTAGAAACCAAAAAATTATGAATTATTATGCAAATTAGCAAATTAATATGATCTGATTTTAACCCAAAACTGAGCAGGTCTGTGCATTGTTCCAGAGCATCAATGTACCAAGTTTCATTGAAATGGAATAATTAGTACATGTGATATCAACAGCCATACAAGATCAATAATAATTTATGACCTCAACTTCTTTATTGTATCAAAATTGGGGGGGTGGGCGTTTTTCCCGGGCATGGGCTTAACCGGATAAATACGGTAATGTTGGAACAAAAAGCAAAAATCAAAAATAGGCCTGCTGCTCAATGGCTATTGTACAAAAGATTAGTGTTGTATATGCCACAACTTTTCGTTTAAATTTGTACTTTTAAATGAAATATCGCCAAACAACCACACAAAGTTGTCACTGGAATAATAAACACATGTATGCCTAACACCAAAGCATTGGAAATAGTGGTTAGTTGAAATTCCATTTTTAACCAAAAATGATAAAAATATTTGCCAAAAATAAGAGAATTAAAGATATGGCCATGGGATGAACAAATCTAGTAGATGTCAACACAAGATACATACACACCAAGTATCAAAGCATTCAGGCTATCGGTTTTGAAAAAGAAGTCGAAAATAGAATTTTTGACCAAAAATGACCATTTTAAAATATTCGCCAAAATTAGGAAATTGAAAATTTCCTTACCAAATTAACAAAACTGATAGAGGACAACCCAAGGCACATGCACTATCAATATCAGCACTGTAGACCACTTACTGTCATAGTAGTGTAAGCTACACACACAGTAACGGTAGGCCAACACATGAGTACTGAAGAGAATGTATGGCATACACAGTAATCCTAACTTGCTCAATACAAATGGCTACCACATACACAATACAGTATTTACTAACTAGAAACACTAAGTGCGAATAGATACTACGTAATAGGTACTAAGGCTGTGAATGCCTGAGTATTCACTAGATACATAGAAGTATATGCTAAGGCTGTGAATGCCTGAGTATTCACTAGATACATAGAAGTATATGCTAAGGCTGTGAATGCCTGAGTATTCACTAGATACATAGAAGTATATGCTAGTAACAACAGAGATTAGCACTTGGATATTATATACAGGTACTTGGTAAAATAAAAAGAAAATACTTTAAAGTTACTATAATTGAAAAGATTACTTATCTAGTCTTATGGTAACAAAGGCGTACTAAATACAACAGTATACA